TCAGCAAAGTATGGCTTCAAAATTCCACTTATTTCTCAAGTTATAACCCATAAAGAGAGCAACTATGTGTAAGAAGACCTTTAAATTGAAGTGTAAACTAGCCATACTTCAACAGCTGCCGGCACGCGAACTACATGCTCCACTAGTGCCATTTTGGTCTTGTTGGAAAGGTCATGTTTCTAGCTTTTTTTTCCTGTCCAGTAAACAACTATGTACCCTTCGCAAAAGCACAAAAAAAAATATAGACTTTGGCCGTGTGCGGGTAGACGCTGATGCGATTGATTAGTGCCAGTGAAGTTCGCGACGCGAGGGCCCACGAGATAACCACGACGCTTGAGGGTCTTTCATCAGTGTTGGCAACAGCGCGAAAAATTGAGCTCTTTTCGAAGTCAAGTGGTGCGGCAGCGAGGCAAGATGCGAGCAAGGCATCTTGCAGAATCCACACGAAAGCCTCCATTCCGTGATTTGGAGTTTGGTATCAAAGGAGCAGCACGCTTCTCTTTTTGCTGTGCAAGGTGCTGTTGCAGAATCTGTGCTTTGCTTCAACACGAGCGATGCCTGCATTTGCAGCGATTCTAGAGCAGCTGGACATAGCGGTATTCAACAGCCTATCTGTGAAGGCTAGGGAGAAGGACTGTTGTCAGAGAATTGAGAAAAGTGTTCCCAAGTCCGAGAAAGCTGGTCAAGAAGAAGAATAACGATGGGACGCATCCAGATTATGCCCCTGGTGCATTTTCATAAGATTTTATTAGTATTTTTTCAATAAAGGCGTTTTGAAAAGTTTTTCCACATTGTTTCAAAACAGCAATTTTAGCACATTTGCCAAGTTGGGGGAGAATAAGTTCTGTTCCATTCGAGCTGTCAGCATAATTCTTTTTTTGCCAGAAAGATAAATGCATGCAGTATGTAATATGCCTATTTTGAAGACAATATACAGATCAAAAAGTTTTTTAATTGGGTCACATCTGTGACAGGTGGAGGTGGCTTTTTTTTTCTGTAAACATTGATGACCTCTAACTCTTGTTGAAATTGGCCCAGCAAATTGATTATAGCATATTGCACATCTTAAACATGCTATATTGTTTCTAAACTCTCAGCAATGTTTTGGTGCTTCCTGCTTAGGTGCTGATTAGGCTCCAAACAAAGGACCCAAGTAATATATTGATTGTGCAGTATTATAGAAACTACTTGACCTACCAAAAAAGTAATTACATTTCTAGAATCTGCACATCTAAATACACAAACTGCGAAAATTTCGTTCAGATCTATACATAAATATAAAGGTTGCCCATCAAGTGTAGCTTGGCAGTTTGCTGTATTACACGGATTTGTGCGTTCTTTGTGCCTGCTTCACTTTGCACCGTACATGGGTGCGGTGAGTTGCTTGTTCACCCAACGCGGCGAAGACGCATTTTGCAAGCAACACGCACTTTATATATCCCGCGTTGCTGTGCCGGTCCCATGTGACGAGGCACAATGCGCTTGGGTTGTTGCCTAATAATACGTGCATTATACGCTCGCTGTCCGAGCATTGGCGTTTCTCGGTGCCTGTGCCCTAACACAAGCGAGCTTCTTTAGTTTCTAACAAGCGATGCACACTTTATCTCGCACTGTGTGGCGGTGGCGAACTTTCAAAAAGCAGCACCGCGCGCTTGTATGGCTTGTACTGCTTGTACCGCCGTCAATCTGAACAGTTCACACGGCACGTGCATCCGAGCAGGCAGCTCCAGATGACTGCGATAGGGTTGTCAGTGATAAAACATCATTTCTTGTGCATCGCTGGCCGCCACATCGCTGTCGATCTCTAGGCTTCGCCGCGTTTGTGTGGAAGTCATTAACGATGATAGATCGGTCTCTGCCATTACCAAAAAGACTAATGACACTTTGCAACACATTGTGGTGGCAACACAGTGAACTTCTATATGACGAAGCAATGCATGTCATTTTGCATTTCAAGGCATTGGCTTCACAGCAAAAAATGCGCCAGAAAAGGTTCTTTTGAGGAAGCTTACCGCAAAGCTTCATGTTGCATCTTATTTTGTTCTATTTTATTCCTCACTGTAATTTTGCTGCTGAAAAAACATCTGGAATGTAAGCAACCTCTTCCGCAGTGTCGGAAGTCTGCTTACGGCGCTCGCCAATCTAGCTTAACTTCACAGCAAGCAATCTAATGGGGCAAGTGCAAGTGAGCGCCTTACTTATACAGTAAAACCTTGTTAATTTGAAGTCACTGAGACTGTGAGAAATGTTTCAATTAAATGGGTTTCTGAATTAACAGAACATACAAAAATGGGATGCAAAGAACTTGAAAAAATTCGAAGCGTAATCGGAGCTGGTCATTTTAGTGGATCACGAGACCGTTTTTTGTTGGTTTTTACAATTTTGTTTGTCGTGCTGGAAGTATCGAGGCTGGGGTATTTCAGTATCGATATTTCAGTATTTCAGACTCAATAGTATCGCTACAGTACATTGCTTAGTGGCTCTTAAGGGCTGTCGTTTCCGCGGACTGATGCTGACTGCCACTTCAAATCATCTGCTTAAACTTACATGGAAATATACAAGATCACTGAAATACTTTGAATTAAGTGGGACTTTGAAATAACCGAGTTCGAATAAACGAGGCTGTACTGTACTTAAGAAGGCCTGTTTTAACTCTTCTTTAGCTTTGTATGCTCCATATCTTTATCGCGACCATGTCTGAAGTTTTCGTTGTAGCAATAGGCGGCCTTGAAAAATGTTCGCTATGTATGGATGCAGTTTCAATGGGCAGCATAGGAAAATCGTAAGCACACCCAAATATAGTTGTTATATAACCGATAGATTGTTATATCTGGGATGTTGCTACTGATTTGACTGTACTTTCACTTTCGCAAGATTTAATCGCCAAAGTGCCAGATGAATTGGTGCCTACTAGTAGTAACATTTCTGGCCTCCTGTCTTGTTACGGTCGGAACAGTACCAGACATTTATTGCCCCTGTATAGGGCCAGACGTGTCTGGTGCCAGTCGCGCGAATTCTCGCTAATGCAGGATTATCTGCAGAAGTGATCATACTGCTCCAGTGCCTTTTTATGCGTAGTGATATGAATTTGACAAGGTGTGATGTCAACAAGGTATAGGCTATTAACAACTTTACTCAAAAGTTGCATTTATTCTGCATTCACCAATGCATTTTGGTAGCAATCTTTTTGTGGTAGTTGGCAAACGGGTAGAATTATAATATATTTCATTCTCGTAGTCTGGAAATAGTTTATTAGACCAAAATGTTCAGTTTCATCTAATGGGCCACACCTCGTCAAAATCTTGAAACATGTGTAGCTCTTTCATAGCCCAAATAAATCAGGTTGCGGCCAAACACGCCAGAACAAACGAGACTTCGGTGCCCATAAGTCTATATGTGAACTGTGATAGTAAGCCAAAGCATGTAAGCTCTTGTGTGTCTGGTGAGCGACTGTTTTCGGTGTCGGGAGGTATTGTGTGATGCAGCAGGGTGCTGCTTTGCAAACGTGTTTGGCAGATCCTGCCTTCATATAAAACGTCAACTGCAGATTTGATGTTGTCAAGAAGTGGTGGTGTTTGCCCCGCCGCGGTGGTCTAGCGGCTAAGGCACTCGGCTGCTGACCCACAGGTCGCGGGATCGAATCCCGGCTGCGGCGGCTGCATTTCCGATGGAGGCGGAAATGTTGTAGGCCCGTGTGCTCAGATTTGGGTGCAAGTTAAAGAACCCCAGGTGGTCAAAATTTCTGGAGTCCTCCACTACGGCGTCTCTCATAATCATATGGTGGTTTTGGGACGTTAAACCCCACATATCAATCAAATCAATCAAGAAGTGGTGGTGTATAAAGCAGTATTTACCTACATACTACTTTCCGTTCAATAAAATTTCTTCTTTAAATCTCTAGCAGAGAAAAAAAAGTTTGTAAAAGCCAGTAATATTTGTAATAAGAAAGTATTCGAAAAAATATTTAGTTTGATTTGCACTGGTTTTAAGTTGAGTTCACTGTGAAGTAATAATTTTCATATTTATATACACACCTGTAGATACCAAAACTAATGCAGATTATGATGGCAACCTTCTTCATTCAAGTGTGTAATAATATGTATAGAAATATTGTCTTTTTTGTTTTTGTTTTAAACAGATGTATTTGTGCCCTCTCCAGACAGTCTCTTGGTCAATATCCATGAAAGCAAAGCAGTGAGTATTTGCAGATGTTTACTGCTGTCCAGAAAACTTAGAGTAGCATTCATAAATACAGTAGACTTTTAATAATTCAAAATTGATAGGATGTCACCACTTTGTTGCAATGATCAGTTTTTATAAATATGAATTGGGGCAACATACCAACTAGTGTTGTGATGTTTGCTGCTCAGTGCCGCAGCAAAATCATGCATTCTTGCATGATTGTCAGGGAAGTTTATAGATGTCTGTGATCATGCTGGTACTTGTATAGCGTGGGCACGCATGTGTAGTTAAGGGACTGAATCTGCTGTGTACCGTTACAGGAGGTAGCCCCTTCTTAAATTAATAATGCTTTCCCGGCACAACAGCAGTTATTGCTACAGAAGTGACTTTAAAAAGCACTTGGCACACGTTAAACCAAGGCCATACTGTCTCGTTTTTTTTTTTTTTGTCTGTCAGTATGCGATTAGTTGGTGCACACAGTTTAGCCACATTTATAGCCGTTTTATAGGCGGGCAATCAGCATTATTTGGGAATGTTAGCTAGATAAAAATACAAATGTCGGCTATACACTGCAAAGGCAATAGATATTTATAGGCGTGGATAAGTAGAAAGTTCGAATTTTTGCAGTGGGGCAGTTTGAAGTGGCTGTAAAATACATCAACATAGTGCGCCAACCAGAAATTTGAAAATTTGTTTTAGTTGATCAAAAGTTAGAATTATCAGACTTCGAATTATTCAGTCTATAGTAATAGCACGGGTCTAGAACTGTTGAATCGTGGAGTTATAAATGTTGTTGCACTATTTACTGTAGTATTGTAATGTGACCAAAATTGTAACTTAAGAGGCCACTCACCAGGTTTGACAATTTTGAGCTGACAAGCGCAATGCGTAGACAAGGCATTCGTGATCACGTCTGCCAAAATTAGCAAATTTGCAATTTGCAAAGCCACAGAAATGGGTCAAATTTCAAGATGAACGCTGCTCTTCCTCCTCTCTGCCGGCGCGCACCTAGAGAATGAGGACATGACGTGCGCATATGAATGGCCCTACGTACACGGCAATGCAGTGACATTGGTCCTCTACGTAGACGACTCTGCTCTGACGTTGCAGACAGTGGCACGTGATATGGCGAAAATGATTTAACACGGCATGCGTAGTTTATGCAATTTGTTGCTTGAAAAGATCAATAAAACTCTAGATAAATAATCAGATGCAAAAAGGGAATGTGAGCGTCTTTTTTATATTTTTCTCCCGCGAATTGCAACGAGATGCGGGGCTAATGTGTCAGCGTTTCTCATGCGTTCGTGTCGCCGCGATCGGCGCATGGAGCAAACGACCGCCGTGGAATGCTCCTACGCGTTCGGGCACTCATTGTGCTCCTCTATTCTACCACTCTAAGCCAGCGTTTCCAAACCATCCTGCAGAAACAGGCAGAAGACCACAAAATAACGCTGGTCAACAAAGCAACGCCGCTCGCGTGCTCGCGAGTTGGACTTGTTTGGGCACGTCATGCGCACGTCACCGCTTAGTCGGATGCCGGAGAGGTTGGGGAAGAGATTTGGCTTGCGAAGGCTACGAGGAGGAGTGGCAAGGGTTTCGAGCTCGCCTCCTCTCATCCTCGTATTGCGCTGCTTCAAAAACCTGTTTTCTTTGCTCATGATGAACCGATTCAAAAAATTTTTGTGGTAAATTGTTCCTTATCGGACACCCAACAACTTCCACTGTCTAACTAAAATTTGGTATGGGACCTGGTGAGTGGCCCTTTAAAGGGTGACTTTTTATTACGTCCAAGAAAAAAAAAAAAATGAAACGAGAAACTAAAGAGAATTGTGTGGGTCATTGCACTTTTTAGACTACTTTAATTTTGATAATTTTGGCATTCGATTGCAACATGAGGGTAGTCTTTGGGTAGTATTAATCTGGGGGGAAAAAACACATTAAATTAAAATGTGTTTAGTGTCCCTTTAATGAGCTTTAATTGCTCATTAAAGGGGCACTAAAGTCAAATAACAATTCACATCAGAGTGAAAGCTCAATGTATGACGTCTAAAAGGACAATATTTTCAACAGCAGAGCACTACTTACCGAGAAATGGGCCCAGTTGTACCAATAACGTCTGCCATCTCTGAGTAAATGGCAGGAAATTGTTGAATCGCCGTTGTTACTGCTGTAGCTCCCGCTGCTTTTGTTCTGCTGCTACTAGTGTCGTTGGCTGCGCAGTAAAGCCGGGTAACTTTGTGCACGGCAACAGTGACAACAAACGTTCCGCTTAGGCGGGTAATTTTGAAGTGTGCTAACCCAATGGGGACCACTAAAATGTGATTTTATTTTAAAATAAGCACTTCCTCGGCACAAAAGTAACACTATGAGATTTCTGAATCTCCATTTTAACAATGAACATTTATTTGATAGTTTGCTAAAAAATTTACAAGTAAATAACTTGATGGCTTATGAAGAAGCATTTAACTTGGATGCTAATATCAAACTAAACATGGGAACCGAGGGAAATATTTTTCAATGGCCATTGCATTGAACTTGATGAGGTTGGTTGTATTTAAAAGAAAAAGCGAGAATCTCAAGACACTATGAAACAGGTTTTTATTAAAGCTGTCAAAATTTTTTATTGCAAGTTGTTGAATATACAAAATTTAAAGGAGCAGCACTATCAAGTTTCCCCTCCTCGAAGCAGCGGTGGAAAATGAACAATGCTCTAAACTATACAGCAGATAAAATCGGGTTGTTAAATGCTGCTCTGAAATATGCCATAAATATATCAGTAGATATTTTGTGAAATCCGTATAAACATACCAGCAAGTTCTATAATGCTCTGAACTTGTATGTCTTTGTTATGATCTGCTTTCAGTAAGATCAGTTGTCGCTTTGAGCCTGTGTTTGTCATCCTTTCTGGCTTCTCATTTCGTTAAACTATTTACACTGAAATAATGTCATTTTACCAACTCTTCAGACATTCATCTCTTTGAAGCATTTATTATATGTAAAGTTTGTCTACTTTATATGCTGTAACAGATGCAGTTTACACAACTGCAATAATTATGTAAAGTTGCATGTAAACCTGTGCTTGTGGTTTTTTTTTTAAACTTACAAATTTGCAGCAGTTTGTATAAGAAAAATGCCAGGCGGGCCCTAAAAAAATTTTTGCTCCTACAATTATAAGAATTTAAGTTTGCCTCTGAAGTGCAAGTAATTTCATGTGACCTCTAGTCCACACTCGCCATAATGGCAACAGGCGGTGCTGACTGATGCTCTCACATTTAAATGCACATAACTCAAACCCCAACATAACGAATTATCATTTTTAACTAGGTAAATAATAATAGCTCTGTTATAGAGACAGTGCTCCAAATATATGTTTATAATGAATTTTCTCATATAATGAAGTATTTTTGTGGCAGGTGGGACTGTTATAATGAGATTTGTAGTGTATATACTCTATGAAGTGGATGTAGGGATGGCTGCCACCGTATCTCATTAGTAGAGCATCGAACGCGTTATTCGGAGGTTGCAGGTTCAGTCCCTTCTAGCGGCTAGTTATCTTTTTTTGTCCATTTTTATTTCTTCACATTTACATTACAGTTACTTCTAATAACATTCCCTATGCTTTCCTTGGCATCATTGTCTGTTCTCATTGATATTGTGTCTGATGAAGAGAACGAGCCCTTAAATTTACATTTCTTCCTTCACTCTGGTCTATAGGTGGTCTATAGGTATAGGTATTTCATATCTTTTATGTACAGTCGATCCTAAATATAAAAAAACAAGGATATATTGAATTATTGGCTATATCGAACAGTCGAGAAACGCCCTTGAATTTTCTATGCAGCAGTATGGGACTGGTGCACCCGTATATTGAGCTTTTGCACAGTGGGACATCTGCTATATTGAACGCTGTGTCGCACTGAAGCCCAAAAAATGAATTTTTCCTAGCCAATATTGATCACTTTTCGGCTGCGTTCTAGCAAGTTCCTATCTCTTTTCGTGCGCAGGTGACGAAAAGGTGGTGTTATTAAGTCGCGCTGATCTGGTTCGTTGCGCGGCGCTTGTGAGTGCACTGGTACGTTTGATGCGCGATCCGCCAGTCTTTAACGCGGCGGTGTAGTGTATTTCAAAATACCGGTTGCTCAGGACACCAAAATGAGAATGCGAAGTGTCTCGGCTATCTCGTTGCAATGTTCGCATTCCCTTCCTTGTTTTTTAGCATACAACGGCATTCAAGCCGGTGTACAGCATGGCCTTCGATATAGGTAACCTCGTGACGTATTTTTAGTGTTTTCAGTTTTGTAACGCGTGTCTCGGAGGCTACATATTTTCTAGCTTTTCTCATCAAAGCAGCGGATGTGAGCTACAAGGTCGAAAGTGACATCGATATCGGCAACATGTTGACAGTGGAAACTCAGTTTTATAGCACTAAAGCGTTTTCTTTTGCGCCTTGTGGACTTGTATACTTCTCGCCCCATTCCTGATAAATCTTCATATGGGAGTTGAACAGAACGTTGACCTGCACATAGCGATAAAAATTATAACTGGCGCTTGGAGCAACGTCAAGTAAAGCACCATCGTAAACTTTCCTTGCGGACCAGGTGACAACTTCGTGTACGTCATGACTTCTGACAATGGCGTATGGTGCCTCCATGAATTCTGCGACTTATCAGCGTTTCTGGGCACCATTTCGGACAGTGAGCAATTTCATCGGTGCAGATGACGACATAGCTGTTCCTGACTGCATCGATGCTGAGATCATGGCCGCCATTGCCGGTGTCGTGGAAGTGTACCCGTACGGTTCTGAATATGCCAATGCATTCGATGCCGCCACCAAAGAACCTTTTGTCGTGCTACAAAGCTTGCATCGGCGTTATGTGTCAATCAACGCTGTTGTGGCCAAAGGAGCTGAATTCGCTTATTGGAAAAGCTTCAGTGATATTAAAGATAACTGGAACTTGATGGCGTGCAAGAAGCAAGATAAGTTTATGAACCATTTTCATGTGAAATAAAGTGCGGTAATTTGTACTCCACACCTTGGTCTCATTATACTGCGAGCGAATGGTTATGTTAGCGCTTTTAATGATTTCCAAGGCATGAAATTCTTTAATTTAGGCCTTAAATATGCATATTTTGTATTTAGAATTAGCGATATATCGAACTATTTTGCTATCTTTTTCAAGTTCTCAATATCTGGGATTGACTGTATTTGAGTATGTGGCATTAGTGTTGGCCCAGACCTAGCATTTTCATAACTTGTACAGTGTCAATTTATGAAAGGGAACACGGGAATGCGTGGTCTGCACACTTCGGCGGCTGCTGGCAGCCCGTTCAAGCGGAAACAAGAGCAACCACAGTCTCCTATTGCGTCATCTCGCGGTGAGGAAAACAATCATTTGTTGCTAGTATGGAACTAGCAGCAAGATTGCGACCCCCTCCCCCTTCGAGGCGATTACGCGAGAGCCAGTAATCGCCTTGAAGGGAGAGGGGTTGTAATCTTGCCGTTTGATATCAGCAACAAATAGTTGTTCTGCTCGCCATGAGATGACGCGAAAAAAGACTGATTGTTCTCGCTCCCACTTAAAAGCGCTGCCAGAAGCTACCAAAGCGCGCAGGCCACGCGTCGCGGTGTTCGCTTTCATTAAAATTGACACTGTACATAAATAGCCATCGCAGTGGTACAGTAGTTACACTGCTCGTCTGCTGTCTTTGAAGTTATGGCTTTGATCCTGGTTTGTGACAGTCATATTTTGATGGAGACGAATTTTTAGAGGCTGGAGGACTGATGCTGGCTGCTTCCACGTCAGGACAGAGAGGCCAAGCCTCTCTGCTGCCGCATGGGCCCTCTGGACAGCCCTTAGTTGGTCCACCAGCGCGTTACTGTGCAGCATTCGCTGCCACCACTGTTCATCGTGAGAAGCCGCACTGGCCATTGCCAAGCAGCGCCAAAGCGTGTGTTCAAAATCGAGCAAGCCCCCACACTTACTAGGTGATAGAAGTTTTCAGACCACTTCATTATGGCATGTCTGATAACCATGTAGTGGTTGTGGCTCATGAAACCCCAGAAATGATTACTTGTGCAGAAATCCTCCAATGCGAATCAAATGAAATCAAATCAAACTTTATTTCATCCACAAGTTTGTGTGTTTAGGAACATGAGGGCTCGAGAAAAAGTGGATCTATCTACTTCAGAAGCTTGAGTCCCCATTTTACATGGCATACAGCAAGCGTGTATGTCAGCTCAAGTCAGCAAAAGTTACAGTATGAACTTGTAACTTACTTTTAGACTAGTTTGTCTTGAGTTCTACAATCAGTATTAAATATTCATAGCGAGAACAATTTACACAGTAAGATCATGCTTGACTGTAGGTTGTCAGAAACAAAAAAATGCTTCCAGTGTATGCTATAGCGGTATTTTTTACTATAGCTGTACTTGTTCTCAGTGCACTTCATGCACTTCATGTTATTGAAGTGATCAGTCTGTGTGATGTTGTTCACCTGCTCATTTCTTTTTTTCTCTTGCAGCTTGTACAAGATCTGTTGACCAATCTTCCATCAATTCATGCACAAAATGGAGAACCGACGAGTGCCTTGGGTGCTGCTGTACAGGCTGCTTATAAGTTAGTGGTAAGATTGTGAACTGTATAAGTTTGTTTCATCTGATATGATTTGGCAACTTCTGAATTCGTGACTTCATGCTTTCTCACTCAGAGTCCTATTGGTGGAAGGGTATCGGTGTTCCAGACTTGCCTTCCTAATGCTGGTCCTGGTAGCCTCAAGCCTAGAGAAGACCCTAATCAGAGGGCTGCAAAGGTCGGTGAGGTTTTTTTTTTAACTAGTTACAAAAAATGCACACCATGAGGAAACACTTTCCGCATTTGTGCTAAGTGCGGTCTTGTATGCCATAGTGCTCCATAATGGAATTTAGAGTGAAAAGTTTTGCCAAGCTTGTGCCAAAGTTGTATAGAAGCTGCCTAGTTAGTAAAAGTGAGACCCATACACTCCTAATGCATGCTATTACTATATGCATGTAGGTGCATTGAACAGTCATAAACACAAATTTAGTCAATGCCATTATTCCTTCATTTTGCTGTGTTCATGCTTTTGTTGCATTTTTCTCTGGCTGAAGTTCCGAATCTCTTTTGTTGTGTTGTCTTGACTTTGCCATTTCTGGTGCACTGTCTCTTCATCGTGGTGTTGTGATGCAAAGCCTGCTCGAGGAAGTTATTGAGTCAAGAAGCATTGTGGCAACCTTTGTTTGCCGTCAACTGCAGATTTTCCGGACATGCTTGAAATTTCTGAGGCTTTCGCGGCGCTGTCGCTAGCATTATATATGTCACTGCATAAGAACGTCTCAGATTTCGGACACAAAGACGCATCGGCGTCCGATTTTTCAGTGTTTTTGCCCAAATTTCTGGTCGGAAATGGCAGTTATTATACAGCCCCACCTTCTGTCGCGTCTCTCATCTTGTAGGTTTGAACCAGTGCTTCGTGAGTCAATCCGTTTGTTGTCGTAGGAGTGTTCGAAAGTCTACTTTGCCTCAATGTTTGTGTGTTGTGGGGTGAGGTAAATGAAAATACGAAGGGGTTATTTTATTATCACGGGGCAGTGTGGCCGTGTCTCTATGGATAAGCACCGGGAATGTATGGAGGCGTGATGACAGCTGGTGGCGAATTCGCCATTGCGACTTAATTGCTTACGATTCTTTATGATAAACATCTTTAGATAAGTGGTCACAATCGTAAACGAAGTTGCAAGCATAATGCACGCTTTTTAATGGGTGACAATCGAAATGTGCCGCCGTTCATGCTGCACTTTTGAGCGAGACTGCTAAGTGTGCAGCACATACGTGTTGCTTTGAGGAATGAAAGCTCCATCGCTTCGCCTGTTTGTGGCCAGGAACTGAGTGGGCATAACGAACACCTTCACGGCTAATGCGTGTGTATGCTACAGGTCGTTGAGTGTTGCCTGGCGGAAGTAACGGAACTGCCGTGCCACTGCAGCATCTGCTTGTCTGCTATGGATTGTGTGGGTTCAACCGGCGCTTCCTTGGTTGAGCGTGCGATTTTATTTTCTGTGTTGGTGGGCGTGCGATAGGTGGCAAGTGACATTGCATTGTGAGCCACACATGATTCGCCATATATTCACCATAACAGCGTAAGCATTTTAGCCGATCGTGGCAGATGGCGTGGACTCGTAGGGCCACCTGGCAGGCATTATGCGCAATCAGGCAGGCTGGGTCAAATGATTGCGTCACACGTAGAAACGTACTTGGTTGGGTTTTGGTGTTGGTATTACGGTTTTTTGGTAATTGAAAATTATTTTCGAATTTGTTGAGCATTACAGCTATCAGATGCCTGACAAGAGTGTCTCAGGAACATAAAAGCATCATTATCCTGATGTGGTAAAAAAAATTGCCAAAGTTGGCCTTTAAGTAGGGTTCGCGGCACACACCAAATGTATTCACAAGAGCCTGGGCACTCACCAAAATGCTCAATAAGTGTATTGGCAGCCATTGAACCTATTCGGACGTGGGCGGTAATTAGACCTCTTGAGCAGAATAAAAAAGAATGAATTTGTTTTTTCGGACCACCAAGTTTTTCCGGCCATTTCGCAGTCCCTAGGAATCCAAAAAATCGGCAGTTGACTGGATTACGTTTTTCTTTGTCTTAACCTTGGCGTTATAACTCTTGCCAGTAGTCAAATAGCAGCTCCCCATAATGTTTGACAACAAATTGTTTGCAGTAGCTGGTAACAATGCTACTTGACAAAAACCTTGCTATGGGTATATGCCCCTGCTTGCTTAGAAAAAGAGGAGGAAGAATAGGAAGTACAGAATGTTAGTGCCTGATAGTTTTCCTGCTTTTAGAGAGAGCCTTCCTTGAAACCATGCATGATCACAAGAGGGGACCCCATGATTATCTTAAGTGGTTTCCACATGACTTTAATGCACATTCGTTTAAGAGGAACTTTGCACTTAATGTATCTCCGTACATCTTCACTGTATCTTCAGTGAAGTCATGTGCGTCTTATGGAGCATGTTCTTCCATAGAGGGCCTCTATCCCACTGTAGCGCGTAAGTGTAAAGTGGACTAGATATACTAACCAGCAATCAAATTTATTCTCTTTTTTTTCATTTTTGTTTCAACTGCATTAAAATCATTTGAAATCATAGTCAATTTGAAATCATAGAACCAGCCTTTACCTCTATGTTCGTAGAGACGAAGGCATTCTTAAGTTAAAAATTAAATAAGTTTGGTCATTTAAATCTAGAATGCCACATAAGTATGCCTATAGCTGTCCCTGCTGAATTTATTGGCTATTTCAATTAATATTGAGACCGTACAGCTGATAGACATACATTTTACAGTGTACAAAAAAGGGCACATCATTGTGCCAAACAGGCTCTTTGTTAGTCAAAATCCGAGCCGAAAGATTGAATGCCAGTTCTAGCAGTGCTCATTTTAGAACCCATTTGCGCTGAAAGGTCGAGTGGCTATCTTTGCAGTGCATGCTTTAGAGCCCAGGTGGATCTATGCAATATTGCAGAATTTCCACTCATAGCAGAGACGAGATTAAAAGATAAGGGCCCACCAGTTCACCTCGTCCTGGCGAAAAAAGTTTAGAACTGAAAAATCCAAATAGCATAAGTGTTCTTGTAAAAATAAATATTTCCAGTTTTTCGGGAGATTTCCTTTCTGCCGAATACTTATGCAGTTAAACCCTTCTATACGAGGCATGCTCCGGACAGCCATTCTTGTCTTTTATATGAGGTGTCTCTTACATGCAAGGTACCTCATATGCATTTTCTTTTCCACTGGTATTTTACAGTAGGTACACTGGCGCCTCTTATACCTATTTGTCTGTTATATCAGTGTCTCTTATAAAGGGGTTCGACTGTAGTTCATATGGCTGAATACCTTTGTCAAGTTTCTTTGATATGTTTGATGCGTTTCTTAGAGGGCCGTATAAAAAGTACCTGGGATCTGGAGAAATGTACCAAGATAACAATATTCGAATGCATTTAGAAGAATTCTATTTTGTTGGGAGGAACCTTTGCAGTATTTAAACTTTCCAATTAAA